CCTACAAACTTGTTTCCCGGATATGACACCGATGAAGAAATCGCGTGTAAAATACTCGCCGGATGTTGATGCATCTCAGCAGGGATGAGAAGTGCTCGATGTTGTGTGTGAAGTAGATATTTTAAGACATTGAAGTCTACAATCATTTCCTCTCCTCTCAGAATATGAATCACAGCAGTAGACGGCCATTCAGCTCATTTTAAAGAATCCCCTCACTTATCTGACGTTTGACCCTTTTGGCCTCTAGGATGTTTGTTCTTTATAGTGACCGTAGTCCTTTTTGGTTCTTTCACGCTACAATTGCATTTCATTATTTATTTTTTTGTGTTTTAATGCATTTCACTTTCATTTGGAGTAGTTTACATATTGATTAGAAACACACTGCAGAAGGTTTTGGGCCTTGATGGGTTTTTATTAATGAAGAATGTAGAGAGAAAAGTAGGTGGAGGAAAAGTTAAGAGTTCGTATGTGCATGATGAGAATTTGAATGTAAACATTTTACCGACTGCTCTACATAGAAATATGCAGACCCGAGATACTTAAGATATGAATGTTTCATTGAATTTCAGCACTTAAAATCAGCTTTACATAATTGCTTTCTAATTTGTGCTCCTAAGAGAGAAATAGTATTTAGGAGTTTTACCTTGGATGATCTGTGTCTAGTTCTACCAGTAAGGTTCTTATAACTCATGATATATTAAAACACCCATTTGTTCCGGCAATAATCTAAACGTGGATTTGAAAGCTTACATTCATTTCAAACTTTAGTGGCGTAGCTGGTTATTTTTCAGGCAGTAAAATGGTTTCTGATCATGATTGGTGGGCCGATGAACAAAGAAAAACAATGCTCAAAAAGTAAAATGTTACATTTAGACCTGGAGCACATTGTCTCTGCGATTCACAGCTGTAAGAACTGTATGGTGTGTACATAAGGTGTGTAGTGTGAGTTTTCATAGCGAAGCTGGTCCCTGATGGGCAGGCTGCTCAATCTAACATCCCAGCCCTGCACGTCTACTCTTCTCCTGACAAAACCGTTCACGATCAAGGGCAGCATCACCTTTGGCACTAATGAGGTAGTTTATTTACCAAATTTCCTTGTGGATCGCGAGCGAGGGAGAGAGACGAGCCACGCATAGCGGAGCACGTCATCGGCGCGAGCTGAACAGAGCTCCAGAAGCTCCAAGCTGCGCGTTTAGTGACAGTAACGCCGTGTAGCTCACCTGAACCACCTGCACGTTCAACATGTAAACCCTTCAAAGAGTCGGCTGGAGGGAACAGACCGCATTATTACAACCTGGAGTCACACCGGATTTTAAATTGAACGTAATCTTCAAAGGAAAGAAATCAAGACTTTCGGACTCGAGATTGGAACTTTAAAGGCTTTTATTTTAAATTAGTTGGGTACCGATTCTAATTACAAAGTTTTTTTTCCAAAACCTAGATGATTATGTCGACACACCACAACTTTGATGACAAAGATGTGCAGATGACCGAGGACCCACAAGGATATTCTCTTAAAATCCATTCGTAACGACACAAATTCAGAATAGACGAAACGACATTAAACACATGAAAATAATCAGAACTCTGAAACTTCCTCACAATTGCAAACCCTGTCCGCCTACACATGCCAGAGATATATTATGTGGAATGCCAGTTATTCAACCATAATGGAAGTCTAGTAATTGGCATTTGGATTTGTGAGGGTTTCTTTTTTTTTTTCCAGGCAACATGAGATGCAATTAGACCCAATCATCTGTGCCCAAACAGCAGCTGCATTGGCTGGAGGGGGGGGGGGATGCAAATATTTGAATATGTGTGAAAGGAACAGTCAAAAGTCATGACGCCTTGTGTGCAAAAACACTGACAAAGTGGCCCGGGCACGAGGCGAAGGTAACCAATAAGTGACGGCCACGCAGCATGCCGGCCACGTAGCAGTTTGAGAAACGTGGCTAATTGGCAATCGACCTAATGTGGCAAACCTGTGCAGCAACGACGCTGATCCACTCAAGTCAGAGTGAAGAAATGCTTTTGGCCGACAGGTCCGTTGGCCTTTTTTTTTGTTTTGTTTTCTTTTGACTAATGAACCAAGTCCTTTAATTATTAACCTCCTTCTATCGACTGTACTGCATTAAAACCCCCAAAGTATTTTTTTCCTTTTCTTTTTCACCACAAATCTATCCACGGTGGTTCAACACGTATGAGATTAAACTGACACGGAGCCTCTGGGCATCGATGGTTCGCAGTGATAATGATGTATGCGCGGCACCGTTCCTGCTTAAACCCGTCGATGATTTGCAGACCTGCTCGTCGGCGCCCGTGTGCTTTATTTGCTTATTCAGATTGTTTTCCCCCCAATCGGTGCGTAAATGTGTGCGGCTTTACTGTATGTTTGCTTATCTGTCCACTCGTCCCCTCTATTCAAACAGCGGGGCCTTTCATTTAGGGCCTTGTGTTGGCTTTTTTTTTTTTTTTTTTTCTTTCTTCTTTCTTTCTTTCTTTTTTTCGGGGTCTTTTCTGTTATTTTGGGACCAGATGGCGAGGGGCACGGAAGCGGCTCTTTTGTCCAGGCGCCCCAGTGAAAAGAGGCTGTCCTCCCTAATGTAATCAGCGGCACCGGAAGGGTCCATTTCGAGCCGTGAAGGAAGACAATCGGGTCTGGACACATCTAGATTACAGAAACGCAGAGTTCATCTCCCGACCCTGCCCCCTTTGACCGGGCTCCCGGCGAGGAGGATCCTCATCTTTGATCAGTGGAGGGTGGAGGTGCTGATCCGACCTCATGGGGGCCAAAGGCCACCACCCCCCCACCTCCGCCCTGTTTACCCTGCACTTGGCTGCTGTTGACACCTCCTTCCGGAAAGAACCAGGGGGTGGTTGGTCGGTTTGGGCAAAGAGGGGGGTTGGGGGGTTACCATGACCTGTCTAGACACCGTTACTTGTTGCCCTGGTGTTGCCAAGGATACATGATGAACTTTGACCTCAAATATAGTTGGTTAGGAGCCACCCTGGTCATCCAAGGAAGACTTTTTTTTTTTTTTTTTTAATTTTGAAGGGTTGGGGGTGGGGAAATGAGGTGTGGGCACGGATGTGACCCACATAATACAGTCTACTTTGAGGGAACACAAGCAAGAATTGTGAGACTTGTTTTTTTTATTTTAATGACTGTGACGTGTTCAGCTGGTCAGCAGGATGTCAAGTTATTTGTTGTTAATAGAGGAAAACATAGAGGCCGATTTCCTTCACCTTTCAACTCTGAAACAACATGTTTCTTTTATGAGAAATGTTTGTTTGCTTTTGTTAAACTGATCCCGTTGACACTTTTGGAAGGACGATTGATTTTTTTTTTTCATTATTTGACATTATTTGAACACCACAAAAGTCTTTTATGTGGTTCATGTTGGTTTATTCATTTAGATGCTTTTTTGGACATTTTATTTCTCATCCGCAGTAAGTAATCTCTGATTTTCTTTCCTACAACATACTCAACAGGCAGCTGGAGGTAAAGCAAATGATATTGTTACATTTACATGTATATTTTTCAAAAATGGCGAGTAAAACTCATTTGTGTGTTTTGCAATTTTCTATCTTTGGCACACATGCAGTAATTTTCAGAACATTTTATTCAGTTTTACCTTTTATCAAATTGTAATTTTTATATTTGAATAGATGGAAATTTTTGTAGCTCTTTGCTTATAAACATAAATTATGTATGCATTATTTAATTGAAAGGGTTTGAATATTATAGTGCAAAAAACAATACAAGCCTCAAAATCAGCGTAGACATAATTGACATAAAGTAATGTGTACTATGTACTCAACTGGCCTACTATTGATATTATATATTTAAATATAGCAATTATGACATAACAGATCAGGCTTAAAATTAATAATTTTGATGAAATTTCCTCCCAATGGTTTTCAAATTGCCAGAATAACTTTATTAGTACGAGTAGTGTCTAATAAAAACGCCTTGTATCCGTATTTATCAGCCCGCTCTCCCGCACCTGGAGTCCCGGGGTTTTTGTTCCACACCAAAACACAACCCAACGTGTGGCTTGGCTTTGAAGTTGAGGCCGTTCCTCAGGAGTGGGTGTAGTGATTCCGCCATGATGGCCGCCACTGCCGACCCCGCCCTCTCGCTTGCCACTCAGGAACAGTTAAAATGGCAGCGCGCAGCAGAATGAGTGAGAGGGAGAAAGAGGGAGACGCCCACTACTGTGAGCTAAGGTTCGGTTGAGTGAGCTGCCTCTTGCCTTGCATGCCAACTCCAACCGAGATGATTGTTTTTGGTGTATTTGGCCGACTGAGAACAATGTAGAATCTGAAGAGGTCGAGACCGGTAGATTGGGCGGAAATCAGTGAACGCTTAAGCTCTTTTTGTCACCCGCTTTATCCAAATTCCGTAACTTCCGATGGCGCTCTATTTCAGCCCCAATTTGTCAGAGAATGGAACTAAACCCTGGTGCAAAAGGGCCGAATGTAAAAAAAAAAAAAAAATTGAAATCCATTGAAACATGATTGGCCAAACCATGGTTACTATTCAGTGTAAATACAGCCCAATAGAAAAAAAAACATCCACTCTAAATCTGCCTTTCTGGATTCAGTGGGACCATTACTATAATATAATGAGAAGGTCTTTGGTGGGCTGCCATTCTCTTCTACAAATGATGCCACAGGATCGCACGCTGTATACGTCCTTATGTCGTAATGTGTCTCCGTTTGGGTTGGCGGCACAATTTGCATTCGGAAGCGGTTCTGAGATGTATTTATTTTTAGTGCAGTGATCATTGAAGGCCTTTGCTCCCAGTCAAACCGCCCCAATGCATGTGCTTATTATGTCATCTACTTAATTCCAATTAAAGGCTATACGCTACACCGACCCAACGCCGTTTCACCGAGCCAGGAACCCATTTAGGAGGGATCACGGAGCGCCGACGTGTGTATCCAGTCTCAATAAACCGAAATGAAGTATTACACCCAATCATCTCTCTTTGCAGGTCTGGCTGCCACTTCTGAACAACTCTATCGCAGCCTGTCCCACATCCGGACTGCAGAGAGAATTTTAAGGTAAATGTCCAAATCCTCTATTTATAGGTCTTCCCACTCACACAGAATGACACTTTTATTATTGGCTCTTTGTGTGAATATGTGTCTTCTTTTTTTCACCCTTTCCTCCACAGCTCAGGGCTGGTGGTGGACCAGGAGGAAGATGTCATGCTAAGGATGGGTTTTTGGTGATGATGTTGCTGCTGTTGATGCAGCATCGAGCTCTCACTTTGTGCCTCTGTCAGTTATGATGCGTAACCACAAAGTGAGTGACAGGCTAATCCCCGGGAGAGCAGGCGGCCTGAGGTGAGTCAGATGTATCCTTGACCCTGTCTAGCTGTGTCAGGAAGCAACACAAACCCTGTAACAAAGGCCAGAAATGGCGTGGCTGTGCATTGTACATCTTAATTTAGTATATGGAAAGAGAACGTAAGAAACGCAAGCAACTTATTTATTTAGACCTGGTTCTCATTGCATGAGCTCCCTGGTCTTATGAAATTGTAATGCAGCCTCTCACAGTGCAGCCGCACCTTTTTATATCTTTGCACGTGCATCTGTTATCTCCTGAGTACCGAGTTTTTTTAGAACTTCAAGCAGGAACCTGGTAGTGATTTTGGTAGATTCGACATTGTTTACTTCAGTGCGTTACCGATACGGTGCTAAACCCCCGATGCCACTTTGAGACTTAAAAAAAGATGTTATTCCTGTGTCATTCTTTGGATTCAGATGTGTGTAAAGCTGGTTTAAAGGATTTGTTGTATTCTCATTTTGAGCTCAAGTGGAACTCACGTTTTCACTGAACACTTTCAGAGTTTCAGGGAGCAGGAAGTTTACTTGAGAATTTAAGAAAACCGTCCTTTTGATATTTACATAATGGATCATTCATTAAAGATGGCCAACTGCATCTCGAGGCATCACAACGCTTGAAGGGACTCTAACCTAAGAGTGTATTGTGTCATTAGAGAGACGCAATCTGCATTCGTTGGAATAGCTAATCACTGATTAATAAACGTTTCTTCCAATCTGAATGTTGGTTTTATTTATGCATTACTTATTGTTGTTTATTATATTATTCATGACGTAAGCGTGATGTGTTCTACTCAAACTCCATTCCCACTGCTGGTATTGTCATTTATTTATTTTTGTGTTGATTTTATATATTTGTCTATGGATAAAAAATGAACCTTAAACAATTCTGATAATATATACATTAAAGTCATACATCAATCAATGGTTTCTTCTGTTTAATGTCAACTTAAATTCAATATTTTTGCTAATTTTTCCACTGCTGTAAAGCATCGGCGCTATTTTTACTCTTTTGTTTGTCATTTTGAAGACTGAATGTAACTAATAAGGAATGTAAACAAGAAAATCTGTGATCGTCAGATGCAGCTTTTTACATTAATTGTATACGTTCAACATGATTGCAAACTGTTGAAATGTTTTGGGGTTTTATTCCGTGTTGTTTGGTGAGGTCTAATAGGATAGCAGATCTGTAAATCCTGATAGTCACAAGTGCTTTTTGTACAATTAAATGCAGTCTGCTCAAAAGACAAAGTCCAAGGGAAAGAAAAGCTGTGACCCGTCATGTGACCCAAGCCGATTCTATAAACAAATTCAAACTTTTTAATATCATCCATTTGTGTTTTTACCTGTTCTATCATACTGTTCTACGTTGTGTTCCAAAAAAAACATATTTTTGTGACTTAAACATGATTTTAAGCACAGTGTAAACCGCACGCACAGCTGTTTGCAAACTACGTGAAATTAAAATGAAATCTTTCATGTTTTATTTCAGCCGCTTGAGCACAAAAACATCCACTCAGCAACCCAGATGTGGTAGCTACATGCGGATAAAGAAAAGCACATGGGGATTTGTTTCCCCCCCCGAATTTTGTGGAGTGAACAAAGTCTCTCATTTCTTCACAAGGGTCGCTCAGACGCGGTGTGTGTGAAATGAGAGTCGCCTGGGTGTGACTTTTCCAGAAAAGCATCCGCTTGCTATTGTCCGCCTAGTCAACTTCTGCAGGCCCCAGTGCCCGGCCCTCCATACATGACAGATCAAGGGTTACCAAGGTGCTTCTGAGAAAGGGGGGGGGGCTCAATGCGAGCGGGGACGAACCGGTCCACCCAAATACTCATTTCCTTTGGGCGCTGGGTGCCCTGGTGGGGATTCAGACGGGGTCACTGACACAGCCGCTGGGGTTCAGTGTTTTTTTCTTTTTTCTTTTATTCCTTTTCTTCTCCGTCGTCGTTCTTAATGAAAACTGTTGCTTCTCCGCCCGCTCGGCCCGGCTGCCTGTACAGTACGCGGGCTCGACAATGTGCCCGGGTTTGCCCAGAAAGGGGGAAAGTGTAGTTCAGACTCTTGGCTGTTTGTCCGGGGCCAGGCGGAGGGAACTCGTGTAGAAAAGGTAAACCAGATTCTGTCCACCTCTCATTCTGTCCAGAAAGTTCAGTCACTGAGCCACGGCATTAACTTGTATTCTAACAAGATTAAAATATATTCGTCCTGGGGATTAGCATAGTTAGGTGTCCTTTCGCCTCCTTTTTTTTTTTCCCCTACGCTGGTGCGGTGACAGTGGGCTTTGATCTGTGTTGCAAGGCAGGAGTCCTGGCTTGGACCTAGCCATTCGAGTGCCAAGTGTGAAATTGGCCTGATGTCATCCCCATTCTTCACCTTTTACATCTTTCACCACTTTAATTATGTTTCCGCCACAAAGCCTAGGCACCTCTGAGCAGATTCCACTCTGGCCGTAGGAAGCATTTAGAAACTGGGTAAATGACACAGTAGGGGAGGAGGAGGGGGGGGGGGGGGGATGGTAGGAGAGGTCATAGCAGGATGGGGCCCTTTTGTGTTCGGAGGGAGACATTGATACTTTCCTGATGTATTTGTGCTCCCTTCCATTTTTGCAGGAGGAGGACTTTGGGAAATTGTCGGCAATACTCAAGGAAATCATTTTGATTCAAGATTTTTACACTTTTTTTTGTATTTTGCATCTTCGTACGAGATGTCCTATTGCAGTGTTCTCTACCCAGGTTACTGATCATTTCTCCTTTTGACGGCTGCTAATCACCCGACCACCTGAATCTCCGTTCCGACGACGAGACAAACGACTCTCCGATGAGCGGTGGGTGCACGAGGGCGTAACCCGTGCAGCCTGCACGGCTTCAGCTATTGTTCACGCGTCGCTGTCCCGATCTGAACTTCTGGGAGCTTCTCTGCCGGGGAATATTTCGATGAAGGTTTCCTATTGATGAGCTGAATGAAGGACCAAAACAACCGACGTGTTTGTGTGAGGAGGGGGTGCAAATAATCAAAGCGAATTTGGAATGTGTGCGTGCCAAGCAAGAACAAGAAATGAGAAATAAAAATAAAAAAATAAATAAAGAAGTGATAGATAGTTGTGGGTGTATGCGGGAGGGACTTAGTGAGTAGGCTCTGTGTGGAGAATGAGTTACTGAAGGGTGGGAGGGAGGTGGGGGAGGGGGGGGAGGACTATGCCACCTGCAGCCATGACAGGCTTTGACCTTCATTTCTCCCCCCCACACCCCCTTTTTTTTGTCTTCCCTTGCGCATCTTTTTGTTACACTCCCCTTCCGCCTTGTGGTAGAGGTTCGGGCTCTTTTCAGAGGGGAAGACTGACCGTCGTGATTTCAGCCCCGGGAGCGCCCCTCCCCGCTTTGACGTTGGTCCCCGGGGCCCGAAGACAGGCCCCTTCGCAGACTAGCGGTGGGAGTGTGGAAATGCAGATAAGGCATTGTTGAGGAAACATCCCGGGGAATTGTTCAAGCCCCCCCCCCCCCCCCCCTCCTCGCATACCGTGTGGACGCTTTGGCAAATGTTTTAATCTGAATAGCCGTGAATTTGATCCTCCCGTGAATGTGTTCGCAGAACCGCCCGTAGAACGAGTGGGCGTGTTTGCGTGGAGAGGATTGTCATGCCCGTGATTTACGTTTTGGGAATATTTGGCAACACTTGGTGTATTTTTCACTTTCCCGAACTATTTTAGAATGCGTGACTGCGATGCCTCCAGAAGCTCGCCATTGATTGAGGGTCACGCGTGTTACTGCCGACATGGACTCTTGTTGTATCGTTTCTGCTTTTCAATGGAAATATATGAACTGTGTTGTTCACATAGAGGTGCAAGAGACGTGTTTGTGTATAATACTCAAGGTTTATTTACTCTTTTGCAGTTTTCAGGAGGCAGTTAATTACGCAATTAATACATGATACAAATTATGTACATTTATACCAAAGAATACTTCCAACATAAAATAAAAAATAGCATTGTATTCTACAACTCTGTGTTGTATTTTTATTTAAACATGTTCATATATAGATAGATATACGCTGATGAGTAAATTCATAATGTCGTACCATGTTTCCATGAAGGCATTAAACTTGAATAGTCTGCATTTGAAGTAATACTGCTTCTCTGATTCGGCACAGTTCTGTTTCATACAAAGTTCGCAGTGGAACTTTAAGGCAAAGTGTGTTTCTGTTTGGTGGATTTTAATTCACACACACTTTTTGCAGATACACAACAAAAAACACTTGGAAAGGCAAAAAGTCCACAATTTGGCATGGATACGGTCTAAAACTCAGCTCGATCACACTTCCGTTGACAAAGACCAAAGTTTATAAACACAGTTATTTGCCCAAGTACAACAAACTGCAGCTTTCATGCAAAGGCCCCATAAACTATTCATTCACAAAAAAAGAAAACAAAAAGAAGTTATTGCAAGATAAACAAGCAGTGTAAACACCTCAGATATCTACTCTAAAGCAACACTGGTCATTGGATAGATTTTTTTTTCTCAATATAATCTATATAAATACACATATGAAGTCCTTTCAACAACGATAAGAGATTTCCAACATTTGTAATACAGTCACTGACAAATTTGCCTTCTTTTATGATAAATGGATATGTAATAAAACTGTATATAGAGAAAGATTTAACAAGAACACCCAATAACCTGCTTTTATAGTCTGTACTCGGAGTGGTTGTCGTCGTTGTGTTTATGCTACAGAGTTCTGGGACTTTGAAGGCAGCATTACAGCCTCAAAAGTTAAGCTACAAAATAAAAAGGTTGATGTTGCTGGAAACTATAACGGCTGCACTGATGCATTGGTGTAACGGATGGATGCGCACGTACTATTTGTTTAAAGGCTAGAAGACGACCACACATAAGCAAGGCGTAACTCAGCGTTTTAGTTAAGTGGCGTGTTAGAAAAAAATCGCTACCTCTGTGTCACATGTGATAATAAACTGTTCCTGTGAATCTTTTTTTTTTTTTGG